CACCCCAACAAACATAACACAGCTATGAATATAGAGATTTTTTTTAAAAATCTACACTTAGGTTTACAAAGGATACAATAGTAAAATAATTTTTAAAAATGAATATATAAATGAAACATTAAATAATTGTTGGGATTATTCCAAAGGAGAACTTAGATGGCATTTAATTTTTTCAAATGGCTTGGCCACTTACAAAGAAAAAGAAAAACACAATGAGTTCAGTCCATCCATGATGGACTTGGAAAAGAAACAGGCACAAAGTTAAACCTTTAACTGGATGTTTCCTGAGTAGCTTCAGTGTGCAAAACTCTGAGGGATTCCCAGCTGAATCATGAATGGGCCCTGTCTTCAGAGAGCTTTTTATCTGGTACAAAAGATCACAGACAAGACCCCAGATAATTATAATACAAGATAGAAAATGATGCATGCTATTTTTAAAAAAGGAGATTCGAAGTGGAGGGGGGAGGTTAATTCAGATTAGAAGACCCAAGAAGACTCTGTGGACGAGGTGGCATTAACATTGCTGGATGTGGATTTTTCCATTACCAGGGGAATGACGCACGCACAGAGGCTTGAGGAAAGGCTGGGCACCGTGAGGAAGGTGGTGGGACTGGTGTGGACACCAAGACTGTAGGGTAGAGAGGAGGGGGAAGGCCGATCAGGTGGGAAGGAGCCGCACTGTAGAAGGCCCTGAAAGCCCGTCTCTGAAGACCCACCTCTTCCGTGGGCAAGTGGGAGTTAGTGAGGAAGTCTCATAATCACGCTGTCTTCCACACATGAAGCCACAGGGAGAAGCCCCTCCCAAGAGACAAGGGACCAGAGAGTGGAATTTGTAAATAAGGACCCAGCGAAAGAACTGAACCAGATGGATGTGGAAATAAATAAAAGTTGTCTATAAACATGTGACTTAAAAGTTTAAGAACAGCTTGAATTCCAAAGGGATCTGTACATGATCTCATAAATGACAGTCTGGAAAAAGAGCCACTCAGCACAAGGAGGGGTTAATGACAGGATGTAAGTACAGAGGAATAAAAAGGAACACCCACATATAACATAAGGAAAAACTCTCTTTGGCAGCTGGAATGCTATATGATTAGGAAATTCAAGAAAAGCTTTGTGTACCAGGAATATTTACTTCTATGTCATATATGATAGGGAAAAATTATAAGCAATAAAAACGTTAGCCTTATCCAACAACTTTTTCACTTAATATATACTTGCTGAGGCCCTACTATGTGCTAGGAACCATATGAGGCACTAGGAAGACAGCCATGCATTAAACAAGGCCTCTGTGCTGGAGGCTGCAGTCTAGTGGTAGGAAACAGAAAATAAGTAAATCAACCAATAAACACACAGGAGCAGGTTGTGATGAGCACTCAAAGAAAAGTAGGGAAGAGTGGGGGGATCTTTGGATTGATATTTTACATTGATGTGGTCAGAAGGGACATTTAAACAAAACTCTGAATGAAATAAAGGAGTGAAACGTAGTGGAAGAACTTTCCAGAAGAGGGGGGAAAAGAACAAGGGCAGCGTTGGGAGCACCTGTGCAAGGAGGCCACTCTGGCTGGAGCGTGGGGAGTCAAGGAGGACATGGCAGAAGATGAGGACAGACGGAGAGAAAGAATGCCAGAGGGTGCAGAGCCTGTGGCCATGGGAAAGACGCTGGGCATTTTCTGAGAGCAAAGAGGAGCCACTGGAGGATTTT